TGTAGTTTTTAGAACCAGAAATGTAGAGTTCTTTTATAGTGCATAGGAAATTTTATAACAATATCCTGGTGTTCAATGGTTTAGTTAAACTGAGCCCTTGTCCTAGCTTTTGGCCAAAGCTTTTGGCCAAATCCTCAACACATTCTTGGGAAACAAGTGGAATTTACTTCCAAGTAATGCTATTAGAATCTAGATTTTAAATTTTGTATTAAAGCACATTGCATGTAAGTTAAAAGCACTGTTTGTGCCTGTAAAAGTGCATATGGTATCCTTTTAACTCTAGAATTCTTTGTCTCCATGATAAAGCCTGTTTTAAAAACTGTATTCTGTGGTTTGGACCATTTTTCTTAAAAACCAACATCAAATCTGTTTCCGTTTTCTGAAAGCTTTCTTCCATCTTCCATTTGTAGTGTCAGGATACTTCCCTTGTGTTCTAGAGAAATGGATGAAGGTTTAGTGTGGGAAAGTATCGATCTTTGTAAAAGGTGACAGTGTGTTGTATTCAGGCAGTAAATTAATTCCACACTAGATCCCCTTAAGTACAAGGCAGCCTAATTTCCCTTTGACTAACAAAAACTCTGCTACAAGCCTGTGATTTTATTTGTGGAACTTGAAGGAGTAGTCAAAGTTGATTGTAACCAAAAACACAAAGGATGGCCTCTGCTTCAGTTTGTATGCCACTGTTCTACATAAATGTGCCCACACTGGCTGACAAAGCAGGAATACCAATTGTAATATAATTATAATAATGTATTTATTTAAAGAAATTCTGTATAGTTTTTCTGCCTGCATCTGGCAAAATCACCTTTATCACTCTAATACTAATTAATTTCAAAACATAATCTGAATAAGCAATTTAGTTCAGAAATACAAATAACATCTTATGTTCCTTACAAATAGGCAGTATCAATCAATAAAAACAATATGAATTAGTATTATTGATTGTTAGGGTACATATTTAATATAATCAGCAACAAGTTATTCGAAAGTGGTATGTACAGAAAATTGTAGTCAGATTTTGTACAGCCTGCGGCTGTTGATCTCTTGATCAAACTATTCTTTCTTCCATTCCGGTATTGTTCTGAGACTGGCATGGGAGGTGCAGGGAAAAGGCACTCTGGATGTTTCTGTGGATATCAACAATCACTAAACTGAATTTCCATCTTCAGGAGCAGTATAAATCAGAGGTTTGCATGTTGTATGTCTCCAGATGCTCTTGCCTACAACATTCATCAGTCCTGGCCAGCTGGTGAAGGCTGATAGGAGTTGTATGTGAAAACTTCTGAAAGACCAACCCTGTTGCAATAGTAATTGGCAGCAGGTGACTTGGCCAGGAAGCCAATGCAATGCTGCAGTGATAAGGTTTTGTAATGGAGCTTCAGGGAAGAAAGGGAAGCCTTATCCTTTCAGGATTGTATCGTTTGTTGGGAGGGTACAGCCCCCAACTTGGCCTCCTTCCCCAGTAGATCAGACAACATCATCACATGATTGGTATTTAATGTAGCATTTTAACCATTTTTCCTGAACAGCTTTCCAGAGATTTTTTGGGTCAAAGTTGATTAAACCATCTCAAAAATGAAATATTAAATAAATCATACATAGCTGAATGAATTAAATATAATATAAGCAGAGTGCCTAAGCTGAAGTCCTCCTAGTTTGAAACTTGTGGGCAGTGTCTCTTGACTGATTTGATGTTGAGCAACTGTCAAAGCAGCATATTGGCAGCTGTCAAATAGCAGCCACATGTCATGCAGCATTGTAGTTCAGCCATCAAATAAAAATAGTTGACAGTGCATGTCAGCTGGTGGCACTGTCAAATACTGAACAATATTGTATTCCTTCTGACCACAACTAAATATATCCCTAGATACCATGTTGTTTTTATTTATTTCGGTTGTATGTCTTGTTGATTAGCACAGAGCTCTCAGAACAGTTGCTGAATATGAACTCATCATGATGGCAATATATAAAATATTCAATATCTTCCATCACTATGAAAATATAATTTAGTAATTTATTTATCTATTTAAAACATTTGTATCCCTTCCAATTGTGCCACAGCACCTCTAGGTGGTTCATGATTGCAAGATAAAAACACAATAAAACCAATAACACATTAAAAATAAAATAACAATAAAATACAAGCAGAAAATATAAAACAAAGGACTTAATGGCATTAGTTGTTGTTGTTGTTTTTTTTAAAGGAAGGTCTTTGCCTGGCACTGAAATAAAGTAAGGAAGTCGCCGAGCGAATTTCCTGGGGGACAGCATTCCAGATATGGGGAGCAACTGCAGAAAAGACCCTCCTCCTAGTGGCCATTCCTCTCCCCTCCTTAAGGGATGGCTCACACAGGAGGGCCCCCTGCGTAGATCTCAAAGGCCGGGTAGGCACATACAGGTGCTCCCTAAAATAACCGGGGCCTAAGCCATTTAGGGCTTCATATATCAACAGAAGCACCTTGAATTGGGCCCGAGCCAGAACTGGAAACCAGTGGGGCTCCCATTGCCAACCAAACGGCCCTATTCCGTACCAGTTGTAATTGCCAGACTATCTTCAAGGCTACATTGAGCACATAGTAGTAATCTATTTTGGCTGTTACCGGTGCATGGGTGACTGTTTTCAGGCTCTGTCTGTCCAGGAAAGGATGAAGCTGGTGTATCCTCTGTAGCTGGAGGAAAGCACCCCTGGATACAGAGTCCAGCTGATATTCCAGGGACAGGCCTGGGTCTAGGAGCATCTCCAGACTGTGGAGACTGTCGCTTAGGGGAAGTGCAACCCCACCAAGGAAAGGGCAATGCCCCTCCAGCCTGTCAGATGACCCCCCTACTAGCAGCAACGCCGTCTTGTCAGGGTTGAGCCTCAGTTTATTGATCATCGTCCAGTCCATTATTGAGCTCAGGCCCTGGTTCAAGATGGCAACAGCCTCACCTGGGCGAGTTGTAATTAAGACTAGTCAGACCAATGTGAATCCTGTCCGTCTAACATAGTAATACAAGGCAGTTTCAAAATCTTTGTAGGAATTCACATTTATTAATTTATTCAATTTATATGCTGCCCCACTAGCCATAGGCTTGCTGGGTGGCTTATGACATATTAAAACTGATAAACAATGCAAAGACAATGTGACCACACACAACTAAATGACCAATAGCTATAAAATAATATGAAAATTCAATAAATCCAGAATAAAAGAAATATATAGATAAATAGCAACAACCCAAAAATAAGACAAAAACCAGTGCTTTTTTTGTAAGAAAAAAGGTGCCGGAACTCATGAAATTATTTACCTTTTGCACGTAGTCAATCACTGTACACACACCCACACACGTCAGTTGTGTAACGAAACATAACAGTCACCGCCCGCAGTAAGCACTCAGCGCGCGACCACATGACCAATCACAAGCCAAGCAGCACCATCACAACCAGTGCAAAGTACGCATGCATCGAATTCGACACACAAGCAGCCCGCATGCTCCGTTTTAATTATTCTGCCACCAACCTGCTATGCTCGACAGGGTGATTCAAATCCATATGGACCAAACATCAAATTTTCAAAAGTTACTTTTAAAACTTGGAAAATCTGTCGAAAAAAGTTGCCGGAGCTCTGTTCTGGTGCGTTCTATGACAAAAAAAAAAGCACTGACAAAAACTGTTAAAATTTAATTATACCAAAATCTAGTATTTAACATGAAGTCTGTTGCATTCCTTGTCCAATATTTCTTTTATGAAGAAATTTCTTTCTATTCTAAATATATTTACTTGGAAGTAAATCCTACTGATTACCGAGGGACCTACTTTCAAGTGCAGTCTAGAGTTTATTGTACATTTTAATGGAATAGATAGTGCAAACAAGAATACTTCTTAGTCTTTCATTTTTTTTTACTAGTCCCTGCAAGGTACTTTATTGTATTAATTTATGACAACTTTCCTCTGCCCATCAACCAAATCCTCTGGGTGGTATACAGAATGTATAAATCAGTGAAACATAGCATGGAATAACAACCTTGATTTAAAACAATATGAATAGAACCTGCATAAAACCTACTGTGAGGATATAATGACAATGTTCAATTGGTAGTGTTGCTAACATGACACACAACTTTTGCCAATCTCTGTGGTTCAAAGTTATGGAACTTAAAATTAGGGCAGGATTCAAAGGACATCACAGCTGATCAAGGGATCTTGCTGGGAGTTTTTCAGGACTGGAAGACAGGACCCTGAGGAAGGGCTCTGAAACCCATCTTGGTTTTTCCCCCCAGAAATCTTAGATTACATAGACATAATCTATTTCCACTGCTTGTATAGTTTGCTGTGCTTTGAGTAATTATTTGTAGGAACAACATGCTTTTATATAACGCATTGAAGGTCTTGCCCTCTCACCACTGGCATGAAATGTTATGGAGCTTCTTTCTGTCTTCTCAGATGGTTCACATAGGCATTAGCCTACCTTTGCAAACATCGGGGCTGGAAATTTGCTTCATTTTTTTAAAAGTCTGATATCTCAGGACTGTTTATTTCATTTAGGTTCCACCTTCCTTCCAAAGAGTTTAGAATATATGGATTTGAAATTTGGGTCTCCTATATTTTTCAACACCACCACATACTAATTATTGTAATTGTACTGCACTTCCATGCAAAGGAAGACTAAAGCTCTAGTAAAGGATTGCCCATATGATTTGCTCCCAGAACTATGGCATCCTTGTAAGCAGTGTAGTGCTGTCCAGCCTTTGCCTGGCCTGAACAGCAACCTGAACTGTTAATAGTTGAATGGCTTCTTTCATTCTTGCACTGCTATGGTCTGATGTGCCCCAAAGTTCTTTCTACCATGTTCCTGTTTGCCTTTGCTAAGTTAGCAGCTGGCAAATCCGGAATGTGTAGTAGTACTACCATTTCTTTCCCTGCTACCCTGTTTTCCTTCCACCCCATTTGTCTTGCAGGTATTGCATTTTTAGGAGAAAAACACAGTTATGACCTGACCTGCTTTTCCTCTTCTCTCCAGAGCCTAGTGGTGTTTAGAAAAGGACTTCTTTTGAGAATGACTCTTCTGTTAGCAGGAGGAGCTGCCATGCTGTATGTGCGATGGCGAATTATGGGCACTGGGCCACCAGCATTTACGGAAGTGGATAACCCTGCTTCATTTGCAGACAGTTTGTTTGTGAGGGTAAGTTGAAATAGGGTTGCTGCTTAGTGAATGCTAGAAGTCCATGTTTTCATTCATTCATTTGGAGGAAGGGATCAACCTCAGTGGTGGAGCAGGCATGGCCCTTAATTCAAGCCTTGCTGATGCCAACTGTAGGCTTAGAACAGTTGTTACAGTGGGCTAGTTGGACTGGTGGTCTGACTCGGTGTGAGGCAAGTGTGCACACTCTTGCACAGTTTACTTCATAATCCCCAAGGAGAGAGTCTGTCATAATAATGATGTTTTGCAGGGTGCATTTACCTGACTTGGCTAAATATGCTGCATGTTTTCATTATTGCACCATGTCAACTTAGTTGGCGTTGTCAATGATAAATCACTCAAGTTATCTGAAAGTTTTGAAACCTCCACAACTGATTTGAAGAACAGGAGCTTTTCCCCCTAATTGCATGTCCTTGGGCTCTGAACTAGAGAACTACATAACTGGGCAGAGGCTGCTGCTGCAGAAGCCATTTTTAGCCAACAGTGGGAAAACCTCAGAGACATTCACTGGCTTGAAGCCATGCAATCAGCCATCCTGGAAAGAAATCTTACTGGGGTAGCCAAATTTGTATAATAGAGACCAGGGGATGGGGTTCCTATTACACTGAGATAACAATAATTAACCTACATTTGATTAGACTGTAGAATCATAGTCAATGTCTTAATTTGATAAACATACTTTGTAAAGGAAGGCATACATACATCTCTAACATCTGGAAAAACAGTAGTAAAATGTTATTTCTGTCTCCTCTTTTTTGCCCCTCCCAGCAGCCTCTTAAGTTTAGTATGAAGTAAATGTTTGTTTTTCCTTTGACTGACAGGCTATAAACTATAATTACTACTATTCGTTGAATGCATGGTTGCTGCTGTGTCCCTGGTGGCTGTGTTTTGATTGGTCAATGGGCTGTGTGCCCCTTATTAAATCAGTTGGTGACTGCAGAATAATTGCACTAGCAGTTCTTTGGTTCTGCCTAATTGCGCTGATGTGCCAAGCCTTGTGCTCCAAAGACAGCCAAAAGAGAAGGTAAAAGACATTGTTGAATTTTAAATTTATCATTGCTGGAATAAATTCAGCACAGTTCTGTGTGTGTGTGTTTTAACAAATCAGTGGAATCAGTATACCTTAGAAAAATGCAATTGAAATAAATATAGCTTTGACTTGCATTCTCATCTAATTTGGTTCCATCAGTCTTTACACTGACTATGGGAGGCAAACTTGTAAAAAGGAGGTATGGATGGCTGCGTTATCTTCCTCCTGAAATGGCATTTGGAGATCCTTAACTCTGTGGGGGGTAAAAAGTAATTTGTGGTCAGAATAAAGTGTAATTGATGTATGTTGTTTTCCTTCACCTCTTTTCAACAGTGTTTCTTTTGTAACAATAATAAAAGAACTTAAAGTACTATACCTACATATATATGTGTGTATGTATATTCTGACTGTTGATTTAAAAAATAAAACTGCCACTGAATGATTGCTCTTTATCACTAAACAGATACAGAGAAAATAATGGGGGAAACCCAATCATTTGAAATAAATAAAAGTTGCTCTAAGAGGGTATGAGGTAAAGCAATTTTTGAGAAAATGTTACAGGTACACTTGTTAGTGTTCCTGGATAGATTATTTAATTTTTGAATCAAACATTTAATCTTTTTAATTGGCAGAATGCCAGTTGTTCAGACTGGGCATTCATTCATTCATTCATTCATCAGTGCATATTTATTGTGTTCTAATTTCCCCCTTTAACAACAAAACCAGATATATTACCTAATAATGTTTTGAGTGTTCATAGCACTTCAGGGGCATTGTTTCTGTAATCTTTCAACAGTACTATATGGTAGTATTATCTCCATATTTGTCAGTGAAAGATAGATTTGCCTAAGTTATAAGGTATGGACAAACAACTTCTTGATTAATGCTTTCAGCAACATTGCCAGTTTCTATCGTTTTGTTCAGACACAATGTCCTGGATCTTAAGATAAATTAACATTTGTGGAAAGAAAGCTTTCCATCTCCCCCTCCCTGCTCCAGCCAGCTGCACCCTCCAAAATGCCACTCCGGAGTTTGGGCTTCAAGGGCTCCTGAACAATGTGGGGGTTACTGGAGAACACAGAAACTTTTTTTTTCACATGAGCTTCCTTGAGTAACCACAGCAGGCTAGCCTGAATTTTGGCAAGGCCCTCTTCCTCAGGCAGCTGCCAGCCTCACATTGCACACTATTCTGCCGTGACTGAAGGGAGGAGGTTTGCAGGGGAACAAATTGCTTGAGATGGAAGGAGGCAACCATTTCAACAAGAAACTTTCCTTTCTGTAGCTTGCTTAAGTTTAGGTATCTTTGGATCCAAACCAATGTATACATTATGCCCACACTTGGTGGATTTTCCTAAGGGAATTTTGGATTCAAAATACCATGGTTCTTCTGTGTGGTCTCTGGGCATCACACATAATGGCTCTGTGTTTGTGCAGAGCCTATTGTCAGAAAGACTGCCAGGTGAGACTTGTCCTGATGGGAACCCCTCCCCTCCCTCCCCCTGGTATCTCTAGGGGGTTCCCACCCTTTTCCCCAGTTCCCTTCTAACCACCATTACGAGTGCCTTCAGCCTTTCCTCCTCATGTTTTTTCTCAGCATTTCTTCCATTTTTTTGTGTTTTCTCTCATTACTAGCTATCACTATTCCTTGATTTTTCTCTTTTTAACCTTACTTTATTCCGAATCACTCATTTTCCCAACAGTAAAAAAAATTAAGAAACCCTCCCATCATTGACTTGTTCTTCTGCATTCTTTATCTTGCTCTATTTTTCTTCTCCTGATTGCACTCAAGTCACTGTTTGGAAGTGCAGCTACTGTGGGAGCCTTTTTCTGCCCACTGTTTATGAGAGGAGCACTGCATAAAAGCATACCCATACAGGCTTTCACTAATCAGGCCTGGAAAAACCAGGCTGGGCATCTTTGGCCTGAAGTTCTGGATCCCCACCTTACAGACTGTTGACTCAATTGTGACAGTGCTGGCAGACCACCCATCTATCTCTCAGACTGTTTTACCTTCGTGTCCTGCCTCCTATCAACCATGGTGTCCATTCTATCCATTTCTGGGCACATGGACAAGGCCCCCTAGGCTCAGAAATTGGCCAGAAAGGCCAAGAAAATGGTGGATGCTGGGAAAGCCAAACACAAGAAGCAGCCTAGGAGCCGTTTCCCCCTGGTGCTGACTGTGGCATTGTCTCCATCCAGGCCCACCCATGGGATGGACCCAGTTGGGATTCAGTTGTTCTCTGAGGGGAAGATCAGGGATTCATCACCCTGCACTGCAGTTCACCTGCTGTCTGTGGTCTCTCCATCATCAAAAATCCCATTCTCACCACACCAGGGGCTGTCAACCTGGATGCCATTGCTGGGTCCAGCCACCAGTCCTTCTCCACACTGAGCTACAGGCTATTCGCCAGCACTGTGCTGTGCCTCTGGCTGCCAGCTGAAGGAGTGTTCCAGATACTCGCTGACAACAGGGAAATGTACAGATTTGGAGAGGTCAGAGGACCAGCAGACCCTCAGATCCATCATTGGGAGGTCCTGGACTGTCAGCCAGAGGAGTGTATTACCACCCGCCATCCCCACCGCGCTTGCTTGCCTTGCCACCACACTGAGACTCACTGTCACTGGGACCAGAGAACTATGTGTCCAACTCTGATTTCGTCCCACATGACAACCTGCTGACTTCATTGCCAGATGACATCATCATGGCACAGGGACTGGAAATCCTCCAGATGACGATGCGCTGGAACTGGAGACACAGCACCTAATAGAAAGTTCAGTGAATCTAGTCTTCAACATCATCCAGGTGGAAGATGCAGTGCCAGTGTTCTTCCTATTCTTGCCCACATGTCTTGCCTCCATGAAGGAGCTCTGGGATAGCATCTCCCAGAGTACGGGGACCTGGCTAGGGTGTTCCAGTTGGAGTCCCTCTGTCTCTGCAGGCATCAGACAGACACTGCCCACTACCACATTTACTGTGATTTGAAGGCCCCTTTGGTGTGATAGCAATTTGACACCATGCCTGGTTCACTCCAGGATTAAAGAGCGGCTGTTTGATGGGGAGGGCCTCTTCAGCACCCACATGGATGAGAAGCTGGATGCTGTGGACAAGGCGTGGGCAACAGCCAACTGAATGGGCTTTGTGCCCCCCCCCCCAGCAGCAGAGGACATGTAAGTGGACTGGAGCTGTGTACCTGTATCATCCCAGAGGCCAGTATTCCTGAGCTGCACACCAGCATCAATCCATGCAGCTGCATGGGAGGGATGCCACCTCTCTGTTCCTGTTCCAGAGACTGTAGAAGAAAAAGCTGGACACCAACAAGAGGCAGTGCTGAATACTGCAGTCAGCCAGTCACCTTCCCCCTGCCATGATCTAGTTTGAAGGTCACCTATGTACCTTCCCACCTGGGAAGCCATAACATTGGATAGTTGGTTTCTCTCCATTTTGGAGAGAATGGATATTGCACTGAATTCAACATTTTACCACCTCTTGGTTCCATGTGCTCAATACTGCTCTGTCCTGGGCTGGTGGAAGAAGTGGTCATGCTGTTGTTTGTTGAAGTGGGCAATCCAACTCATTCCTGCATGTAATATCTATCTACTCACAGTACTTTATGGTACTAAAGAAGGATGATGGCCTTTGCCCCATTCTATACCTACGGGACGTTAACTTCTATATTCCTCCATAAAAGTTCTGCTTGGTCTAACTGCAAAACATTCTGCCATTGCTGTACTAAGAGGACTGGCTCATCTTGATAGATTTAAAGAACACATTTCCATATCACAATTCATCTGAACTACCAGCATTTCTTCCAGTTCCAGATTGGCTTTGATGCCTGCCAAGTCTTGCTCCCATTTGGTCTCCGCCCAGCCCTTATAAGTTTTCACCAAGTGCACAGGTGAGCCACAGTGTGCTCACCTTTGATGGCAGGTTCTCCTACCTGGCTGTGGCTGCTAATCCACCCAAGATGAACCTTTGGATTTGGCCCGTGTTACTTGCGACTTGCTCAGAATGCTTGGACTTCATATTAACAATCCAAAATCTGACCTTTCTCCTTGCCAGTCAATCCTCTACTTGTATATTGGGGTGAGACTCAATCCATTGAAGGCAAGAGCCTACCTTCCAGCCAACAGGGAAGCAACACTGATAGGGCCCTCCTCACAGGTCATCCCCACTGTGGTGCAGCGAATGCAATGACTCCTGGTGTTGATGGGTGCAGTCATCCCATTCACTAGGCTGTGGATGCAACTGCTCCAAACTGTGGTTCAGGTACACCTTTCAAACTCAGAACAATTTGGTCCAGAAACACCTGGTGCTCTCACACTTGGTCCGGGCAAGCCTGGGTTGGTGGACTTGTTAACCCAACCTGGCAGAGGGAGTCAGCTTTGCATTGTGGGAGCCAGGCGCCACACTGACCACAAATGCATTGCTCCTGGGATAGGGAGTGCACTGTAGTGGCAGCAGGACTCATGGCATATGGACAGCTGAAGAACAAAGAGTGCATAAACTATCTTGAGCGTCTTGCATTCCAGAAAGTGCTGATTGCATTCCAGCTTCACCTCAGGAACATGCATGTTCAAGTTACCTTGGACAATACTACGTAAGTGTTCTACCTGAACAAGCAGCATGGTACACACGCCGCATCCCTGATATGGCTCACCATATACATACAGGACTGGTGCCTAGAGAGGCATTGCTCTTGTGGCTGTTTACCTACAGCAGACACCCTGAGCTGGAGGACTGAGGGGATGAACAAATGGGAGCTGCATCCAGAAGTCATCACGTGGCTCTTCCAGACTGGGGACAGGACGCCTCTTCACCATTGCAAGCAATGCAGTGTGTGGCAGCTTGTGCTCCTGAGCCAGAACTGGCCGGGGAGCAATGGGAGACACATTCCTCCTCTGTTTTACCTGGCCTCACCATTTCCACTTCTCACCAAGGTGCTGGTAAAGATCCAGAGTGAAGGGACTTTGTGCATCTTGATTACCCCATGGTGGCCTGTCAGGTGTGGTTTGCACACCTCCTGCACTTGTCTAACAGGACTTTATGTGGCTACCATTCACACCAGACATAATCTCTCTGGACCAAGAGAAGATCCTGCATCTGGATGTTGGTACCATCCATGTCATGGTGTGGAGGATTGACCAGTAGATTGGGAGACCCCCCCTCCATCCCAAGATGCAGGCAATACTGGATGCAGCCCTACAGTTGAATATGAGGTATTCTTATGCAGCTAAATGGAGCACTTTTGCCTAGCAGGAAGACTTTGGCCATACTGGATGTCCATCCACCAGATCCTGGGCTTCCTGCATACACTGTACTCCAGAGGCTTGAACTCATCCCCTGTCAAAGCTTAACTGGCAGTGATATTATTGTTCATTGCAGTGGCCAATGGTTTCTCTGTTTTTTCGTACTCATTGTTCCGTTGATTCCTGAAAGGACTGCAGAACCTTGTTCCACTTCCCTGAGCATTCATGCCAGGTTCTGCAGGCTCTCACAAACCCACCCCTTGGGCCTTTGGCCACAGTGGACCTATGCCTCCTTTCCTGGAAAGTGGCCTTTCTAGTGGCAATCACATCAGCGAGGCAGGTGGGTGAATTTTGCATGCTTCACATTGATCCACCATTCCTCAGTTCACAGGGACAAGGTGGTTCCTCCAAAGGTTGCATCACTGTTTCATCCAAAGCAGGACATTGTTTTGCCAGCATTCTTCTCGACGCCATTGAACCCAGTAGAATCTGCCCTGCATACACTGGACATTTACAGGGCACTGGTGTTGTGTCAGTTCCATACTATGTCCTTCCCACCAGTTCCGGAGACTGTTTCTGTGAATGATTCAAAGGTGAGCCAGTTAGCCCTCAGAGACTCACACACTGGGTTGTCAAAACCATCACACTGACCGCTCTCTGGACTTCAGGTTTCCAAGAAACCCAGAGCACTCTCCACCAGGGCAATCATGACTTTTACAGAATTGCACATGGGCATCCCACTGCAGGATTTCTGCAGAATGGCAGTGTGGTCTAGTTCATCAACATTAGATACTACTGGCTCAATGTCCCTGGTAGGCAAGATTGTTTTTTCATCAGAGCAGCCCCATCAGCAGTCATTGCCTGATAACACCCATGCACCTCTGTAAGGTAAGCTCACTATTTGCCCATATGTGTGATGCAGAGATCACAAAGAAGAAAATTAGGTTGCTTACCTAAAACTGTCATTCTTTTGAGTGGTCATCTATGCATTCATACAACCTGTCTGCCGACACTACAGTGGTGTCGACAGCTTTGATACCATGTTTTCCATCAGAGCTGTATCTAGAAGGTATGCTTCGGCTGTTCACTGGCCTTACCCCCAGTGGTAAGCCATCAGAAACTTTGTTGTAACCCAAAATCACAGAAAACAGACCTTCCATAACTTTTGGAAGATTATTTACTGTAATTGATCATTTGAAATACTGTGTGTTTGTATGGTAGAGAAAATCCATGACAGGTATGCATGATCTATGGCAAGGGTGGCCAAACTGATACTCAGGAGCTGCATGTAGCTCTTTTGAGTTTATTTTGCCTCTGTCTGCTTGCTGCTGTGGGTGCCCACTAGCCACTCACTGCCCCCCAACCCCTGCAGGCGCCTGCTTGTTGCTCATTGTCCACTGCCACCGCCCATGATGGCCTGTTTGCAGTTGTCAAACACCTGACATTTACAGAAAGTGGCTCTTCCATTGAGCACATGTGGCCACCCCTGATCTATGTAACCCATAGGGTAGAAAAAACACCAGTAAATACTCATGAATAGCAGCAAAGCAGCAGTTCTGGGCAACTTGAGTCCCTCTAGATGTTTTGGCTTACAGTTCCCATTAGCCCGAACCAGCATAGCTAATTGAAAGTGATGATGTACATGAGTTGTAGGCCGGAGCTTCTGGAAGTCCCTTTGTTGCTACCTCCTTCTATGCAGGCTCAGTAGCACTGGAAGTTCAAGATTATGTGGAGGAGCCCATGTAGTAGCATCATTCCACACTAGCATTGTCATTCTTTGGAAAATGACAAACACTAAGATGGAAAGGAGCCATGGCATGAATTTGTCCCATCCGATCTTTGACCTCCAATATTACTCATTGGCACACCTTGCTATAGGTACTACTCGAATAGACTCTGAGAAATTCAAACCTATAAACCTGTATCCAGACATTAACATTAAAATAAGATTTTAGTTGTTCATCCTATAATGTATTTTCTGCATTCCAGAATCCTTACCTTGGCATTGGGATTTCTCATTATTCCTTTTCTTCCTGCAAGTAACCTGTTCTTTCGAGTTGGATTTGTTATTGCAGAAAGAGTAAACTACCTCCCCAGTATTGGCTACTGTATGCTGATTACATACGGATTCAGTCTCTTGAGCAAGCAAGCTAAAAAAAAGGTACTAACATTGGTACTCCATTGGGTTGGCAAGTGGAATGCACAAAAAGGTCCTTAAAACTCATTTTTAACATGTATCTCTTTTTTCCAAGAAATTGCTTGTTGCTGCTCTGCTGGGCCTCTTGTTGATAAATGTATGGCGTTGCATTGTGCGCAGTAACCAGTGGAGATCCGAGGAGCAACTTTTTAGAAGTGCTTTGTCTGTGTGTCCACTGAATGCCAAAGTAAGTTTGTGTATTATATGTTATTAATACATGAAACATTTCAACTTCTCATTTGTTGGAAAATACTATGTAAGCACCTGAGTCATTATCCACATCAGTCAGTTCATAGTTACTAGAAGTTGCATTGATTTAGTGAAGACCAACAGTAATGTTGATGAGTTTAGTTTTAATTTTTCTATCTGTGTTTTTAGTGTTTCACTGCTGGTATTGCTGACATAATTACGTTTCTCTTGTAATGGTGGCCAGCAAAGACTGTGGCTAGATCATTTGGCTATCTTTACCTGCAGAACTACTGTCTCCATTATTCCGTTAGTGGAAAGTGCCAAACTAGATAGACTGCAGCAAATATATGTCGTAAGACACACTAACCATCAAAACAGACTTTGGGTAAAATCAGATGTAAATCCTATTTATTTGACTCCCATTGAAATGATGAGAGTTAATATAAGCATAACTCACAGAACTCCAATTCATTGTGGTGAGTTTAATCTAAGGAGTTCTATTGGATGTGACCCTTCATTGCTAAAATGTTATAAGTGTGTTCTTAGAATGCAAAGTTCTGCTTTTACACCTTATCATTAAAACAGCAGTAATAATATAGAACCCTCTGTCTGCCTGGTACTGCAGAAAGGGCAGTCTCTATTTTGACATATAAAACTAAACAAAAGCAGACTAAAAATGGAGAATTGTTTTCCTTAAGCTGTTTTTCAAAGACATTCCACAACCTTTTTTGGTTGTTCAGTAGGCATTGGGATTTAAGTTTCGGATACAGCTGTGTATTCTTCTTTGTGGTCTCTGTGCATCACACATATGGGCTCTGTGCCTACATGGAGCCTGTTTTTGAGAAGATTCTACAGCTAAGCATTAGTCTGGGTGGGAGCCCTTCCCCTTTTCCATAGATGTAGGAATAAGAAAGGGGAAGGGATCCCACCCATTGCCTCTGTTCCTTTTCAGCTGTCTCCATACCTAGATCAGGAAGTGCTTCTCTCCTCAACTTGAATATTTTTTTTCAGCATTTATTACCTTTTTCTCTTTATCACCTCCTACTGCTTGGCTCCCTACTCAGCCCCCATCTCTCCATGAATTTCATTTTTACTCTTCACTTGTAAAATCCATTTAAAAAAAAACCTTTCCTACCTGCTTTCTCTCTGCTCTTTTGCATCCTTTTACCAGTCCGTTCTTCATTCTCCACTCACTGCCTTCCCCATTTACCACAATGGCATCAAAGATCACCTTTAGAAAATGTCTCTGTTGTGTGAGAAAATTCCTGTCCCCACACAGACAGATACTCCTTCAGCCTTTTAATTTGGCTGAGGGACACATTGTTGAAGCATGCCTGCATTGTCAGGCCTTCACAAAACAGATCTAGGAACACAGGGCCAGGACCCTGGAAGCTGCCAATTCCAAATGCGTGACTGCATGGCCAGGAAAGTGCCCAAGCTTGGAAAAAGACGACCGCCGCCACCTGTATTCCATGAGAGCCCCCATCAACATTGCAATCAATCCCACGAGAGCACTCTGCTCTGCTCTCACACTGTGTTACTAGACAAGGCAGTTCTAGCAAGAAAATGTTTGTCCGCCATCATATGCTTTCTCTTCTATGCTTATTTCGCAGTGCGAGTGGTATTTACTGGTAAGTAGAGATAGGAGGACCCAGCCTTTAGTGGGGTCCCATGGCTGCTGCCACCACAACCAATAAGGAATCTTTTCCTTTCCTACAGAGATGGGAGCAAGTTGGATCAAGATATGATACATAGAGCTAGGTTAATTGTGTCCTCAGGTAATGCCACAGATAGAGGTCCAGGAAAGGGAGCAGCAACTTTCTTGAACCTGCTGCATGCTCCACTTTCTTCCTGTCTTCCCAAACCAAATAAGGTCCTCTCAGATACCTGTGTGCTGGAGTTTGGATAAGCAAAAAATACCTACTTGTTAATATCTGTGCTTCACTTTCTACAAATAATTATATTACAGATGTGTTTTTTAACAGTTTAATTGGATAAACATATTTTCAGTAATCTTTAAATTTACGGAAGGCTTGATTTTTTACTGGGATGGTTGCTCTCTGATTACCTTCTCTTTCACACCCCTATTTGCTTGTTGTTATACTCCACTCAGTTACATTTCCGATTGTTCCTGACAGTCAAAAATTTGAACTTTCTTATATCAAGCCATCTCTTCATGGAAGTTATTCAGAGAAGGTGGTAAGCACCAAAGCCAGCTATATATAAGCCACAGCAGATGTCTGTGTTGAGTCATAAATCTGTTTTTAAGAACTGTACTTAGAGGAGGAAAATACTTTATCTAAGAACAATAAATTAATGTCTGGAAAAATTAATACAACTCTGACCTTTACTTTCAGGTTCATTATAATGTTGGCAAGAACTTGGCTGATAAAGGAAATCAAACTGCTGCAATCAATTATTACAGAGAGGCTGTAAGGTAAGGGCTATTTTGTTGTTTAAGCAAGAAGGTATAGGATAGTGATATAGTGTCCAGTAGAAAAGACAATGCACATTTGAAATTTTATTTCAATGCACTGTTGGATTTTTGAATCATTGTAATAAAATCAGTTCACTTTAATCTGCAGATAATTATTCAAAGTTTTCTATTAGTGGCTGAGAACAATGTAGGAGATTACAAATGTGCAATATTAATTTCAATTTTGCCTCAGTTGAGTAAAATCATGAATTTTGATCCAATATTTTAGTGTTAAGAAATATGCAACAATGATCCAAACAACAGATTATATGACTGTACAATATGAACATATAACAATAATCAATATGCATTTAATGTAAAGTGAAAAGCCATAATTATTGGAACCGAATAGAAGAATATGGGGTATTAATTAAATTGCAATTATAACACATTAATTGACTATGTATGGGCACATAAAAGAAGTCAGCAGAAATTAGCTGAATTATTTAAAATAGTATTTATTAACAGTGTGGATATGCAATCTAGTCTAAAGGAACTGTGTTTAATGAAACTGTTTGCAAACAAGAACCACTGATATCAGAGCCAGCTTAACCATGAAGCCTCATAAAACTGTTGCTCTAGGCAGCAAAATTGAGGGGGGACATTTCCTGCCCTGCCCTTCTGCCTTTTTTAAAAAAAATAACACCAGTCTAGAGTGGGAGGGTGTTCTGATTTAGCATATGCTTCAGGTGTCTAAAAATGCCTAAGGCTGGTTGTGGTTGGTATAAAAATAGTAGAGTGATTGGAAAAATTGGTGGCTCCTGTGCAGATTAAAAAAGAGAAGAGGTACCTCTTTTAGTGAGTAATTCTGTTTTGATTTTTAAATCCTAGATTGAATCCTAAATATGTGCATGCTATGAACAACTTGGGAAATATCTTGAAGGAAAGGAATGAACTCCAGGAAGCTGAAGAGCTTTTGTCACTAGCAGTACAAATACAGTATGTTTTAAATAGAAAAATCAATTTACTGTTACACAGCAGAGGAAGTACATCCCTCCTTGTTGGACCTCTCAGCAAGATTTTATACTCTACAGCACAGTATATTTCTGGAGCATTTGGCCAGTATGGGACTTTGGAATCACAGCAAAATAGTACCCCATCTTTATTTGGCTAACTGTTCCCAGAGAAACTATTGCTTGGCTGAGTGGTTGTTCACCTGTGGGATTCTTCAGTGCTGCATTTTGTCCCCTAATTGTTTTAATGTCTAAAGGGAGCTACCAGGAGATGTCCTCAGGAGTCTTGGGGTTGGGTTCATTACTATGCTGTTGAACTCCAGCTCATTTTGTCAACTAATGCCAGGGAGGCTGATATAAGTCATGAACTGCTAACTGGATGTAGTGATGGGTTGAGATAGATCTAGGGTTGGTCAGTAGGAAAAAAAACCTATCTGAATTGGATTGTACAATGGAAGATCAGGCATAGCTGATCTTGGGAGCTATGGTTGCTCCTGAAGGATCTATGGTTGGATCTATGGTTGCTCCTGAATCTGGATCTGTGGTTGCTCCTGAAGGATCAGGTGGCTGCTGTAATCTGCTGTAGTCTGCCATTTCCCTGCTTTAGTTGCTTTTGCCAGTGTCCCTGAAGGCAAATGCAGCCACAGAGATCCATGTCTCAGTCACCTGCTGTTTGACTCATGCAATGCTATGTATGGCTGTATGACAACCAATGTGGTATAGTGGTTAGAGTGCTGGACTTGGACTCCAGAGACCAAGGTTCTAGTCCTCACTCAGCTGTGAAGCTCACTGGGTGACTTTGGACCACTCACAGACTCTACCCTTCCTCATGGGGTTGTTGTTGTGAGGATAAAAATGGGGATGATAACCTTGTAAGCTGCCTTCCAAAGCTGGGCGCCGTTGCAGAGAAGGCCCTTCTCCGGTTAGCCACTCTTCTGATCTCCTTAAATCAGCCTTGTACCACTCTCAGATTGTTTCCAAGCACAACTCAGGGTGCTGGCTCTTACCTATAAAGTCTGCAGCCAGGAAAGGAACCTGCATGTGGCTTCAAAATCTGCTTCAGAGGCCCTTCTATATCCCATGGCTAAAAGATGCTAGGTTGTTGGCAACATGGGGTAAAACCATCCCAACTGCCGCCCTAAGGGTGAAGCCTGGTCCTTTTCTAGTCATCTCTGGCAGGCTATTCAAACCTTTTTCTTCCACATAATTTTAAAGTGTTTTTAAATATATCAACTCTACTCTCTGCTTTTAAATATTTTTTTTCTTCCCATCCTTAATTTGCTGTGTTACAAGATTGTAGTAAAGCTTTAAAATTGTGTTAAAGTATTATATTGTAAGTCACCTTAGGAGCCCCTTTCTAACCAAAAGGTAATCAGAAATAATTTTATCAATCCATCAATTAATTCATCAAAAATGAACAATGGCTAGCACAGTATTTGTGTGGTCAGTATGCTAAAATGTATCCACCAATTTTGCCTAGGCCTGATTTTGCAGCAGCATGGATGAATTTAGGAATAGTGCAAAACAGCTTAAGAAGATATGAAGAAGCAGAGCAAAGCTACTGGACTGCAATTAGGCACAGAAAAAAATACCCAGATTGTTATTATAATTTAGGACGCTTGGTGAGTATATTTAATGATATTTATGCTAATGATCCAGCAGACTAAAATGAAATAGATTTTGGATTATTTTTCTGTAGGAAACTTCAACCTACATATTGGGAAATGCTCTGTTGAACTCACCTGAGCAAACAGATTGAGGCTTGAGGTTACAGTCTTATTCCCACTTACCTGGGTGAAAGCCAAACTGAACTGAATGGTTTGCACTTGTGAGTAGACATATATAGTGATTGTAGACTAAGAGGCATAAAGGGCAGAGTAGCTTGAGAACTGCACTGTGTTACTTACACTTCTCCTAGTATTCTGCCATCTCCCACAAACGCCACCTGTCAGACTCTGCACCTCCTAAGGCATTCTTTTGAAAACAACAACAAAACTGAACTGTAGGAGGGTAATCAACAGGACATTGTAGGCCATGGCATATTTTATAAATACATGTGGGTGGGTTTACGTAGAAACTGCACGTGTATAGTTCTATTCGTGGCTCTCCTTTTGGCTGAAACCTTTGCACAAAGATAGCTTTACATATGTCAAGTCAGACTGTGTGGACATTATGCACACATTCAGTTGAACAGCTTTAGGTTGGGTGTGCCCACCTCACTCTCCTCCCCACTGATCACTGATGTCACAAAATGAAAATATTTGAGATATTAATCCATATGTACATATTAATTTATATATATCAATGCATTAATTAGTGTTAATGCATACGTATGTTAAATATTGTAAATGAAATGTACAGTACATGGTCTGCCTCTAAGCTTACACTCTAAAAGTCTTGGTAAGGAAGTGAAAAAAAAAAAACTTGTTCTGATAATACCAGAACAGAAGAGATGAGTTAACAGACATTTAAGTTGTATTGAATCTTCACTGATTCTCCCTGGCAGCTGAGGTCGTCCTACTACGTAGCAGGTGCTAACCTTCCCTCCAGTGACCAGGTACAGGTGCACAATAGACAGTTTGCCTTGGGCTTATTTTGATTTATGTATTTCATTTATTTATGTCCCACAGTTCTGGCCCAAAACTGAACTAGTCAGGCAGCCAACAGAGGCAAAACCATTTCAATTAAAAACAAACAAACTTAAATGTTAACAAATGAGCAACAGATAAAATATCAGTAAGACAAAAACAAAAGACCTAGATGCAAGAACCAACAAGACAAATGACTTAAATGCAATAAACAACAAAATTAAAATGTGCAAACTAAAGGCATGTCTAAACAAAACCTTTTCAGAAAATTGGGGATGGTAGGGAGTCACACACATGCACACAAATTTATCTCGCAGATTATAAAACTTGTCTTTTACTAGGATTAAAAAGGTTATTGTTTGCAACTAGAACTGGAACTAAGTTCTGGTTCCACTATTCTTGTTTCACATCCTGGTTCCCATTTTATTCTGTTTGTTAACTGTCTTGCACCATCTGATAACCCATTTCCACATGCATGCAAGCCACAACAGTATTGTAGTCATAGAAATTAGATACTTACTGGTGCAGTAAAACACTGCCCTCTTTCATGGCACTTCCTCCTAGGGCAAGAACAGGTACATATCTTAACCTGTACTCCATCACCTAGCGATTATTACAAGTATTGACAGAACGTGACTTTTCACTGCAGTTTGTCTTTCTCTGCCTTGACAAGTATAAATTATTTTCAGGAACCTGTCTACAAGATATATTGCTACTTGCTCTTTTGATGTATGCATATCTTTATACCTTTGTATATTCATGAAGAACAGAAGTGAGGATGGGCACTAACTTCACTGTACTTGTTATCATATTTTCCAACCATATTATTTTCAGTATGCTGATCTCAATCGTCATGTAGATGCACTGAATGCATGGAGAAATGCCACTGTTCTGAAACCACAACACAGTCTTGCTTGGAACAACATGATTATATTGCTTGATAATACAGGTACAGTATAAGATATGCATGGCAGTATTAAGTAAATTATCTTCATGTACTTGTCTTTACTCCCCTCACTGTCAAGTGTTCCATTGACATGAAGACCCAATCCAGAAAACTGAGTGACCAGCTTTACATCAGCGATGTGGAATTGTTGATCTGCACATCCAATGTGGCCCACAGGGTTCCACATCTGACTCACAGTTTCCTGGGCTTCCTACAACGAGTGAGGTTTGGCTTCCAAATGCCACCTCCTGGGGGAATCTCCACTGTCCTCTTCAATCTGAGATAATGGGGTATGTGGGAGGCAGTGAACTCAGCAGAAAGGTGACATCAGTGAGGTATCACTGAGCCCACTGAAGCCTAGTGGGAGCATATTTGGCTCTCCACTCCATGAACAGCACTGCCGTGGAATTGTTCTCTAGGCACTCCTCCACCTGACACTGCACAGAAAACAGCCTTTGAAATTCTGGTAGTTTGCTGTTGAAAGACTCGTTTGTCATGCCAAAAGTCTATGTCTTTGGAGATCTATTTTTAGTGCAAATCCACATGTCAGTTTCTTCTGACATAATACTAATATTTGCAAGTTTTGAATAATTTCTAAAGAGTTGTTCAGCATTTGGAAAAAATTAAATTTGAAAAAATAATTATGGAATCATTGCCTTCTAGCAGTCTGATCCAGCAATTGATTGTGGCTCTGGTGGTGCCACTATGTGCATGAGATGCTCCTGTCCATAATAGCTGCTCCTCCATTGAGGTTGGTGGGGTAACACATATGTACAGGTGTTCATTGTGCATAGTCAGTATTCTCAGAACTCTGGATCAAGACATGGAGCGAATGTTGTCACATATTGGTAGATCTATTTATTTCAGAGCATCTGCCTTTTGAAAGAGAAAGTTATTCTTAGATTATTCTCTGACATCCTCATGCCGTGATAATGTAGAGCTCTGAACATTAAATTAAATTTCCACTTGAATAGTTAAGAGTGAGTCCTGTTTTGATTAGCTTCATTAAAATAAACTTAAGAGTTGGAAGACAAGCCATGTATCTGCAGATTTACTAATCAGCTTACCAATACTTCATCCTACTGAAATGCAATCTGCATTTGTGGGCGGTGGGGATAGAACTTAAAGAATGGCACCAACATCGTTCTGCTACCTTGATTTTCACTTCTCCCTCATTTCTGCATTTGAAATGAATTCAGCAGTTTCGTAACTCTCATGTATGCACTCCGTGATGATGATGCAACAGTGCACATGTTGCAATAATACAAATATGTTAGTGTCTGCTAAACTAATGTGCAGTGTTATTTCAATTTATAGCATTTAAATTCTGGCAGAAATGTCAAATGATTGCTTTTCATATCTGAATGTCGTTTTCATATTTGTCAGTTCAACTTTATCATTTTTATGTTCAGTGTTATTGCACTTCATTTACAGAAAATAGCTAGACATTTAAGCTCAATAAAAATTGCTTTTCACTGCTCCTTTTATGTGTTCCTAGGTAACTTGGCACAAGCAGAAGCTGTTGGAAGAGAAGCTTTGGAGTTAATACCAAACGATCATTCTCTTATGTTTTCGTTGGCAAATGTACTAGGGAAATCACAAAAATATAAGGTATAAAACATTTCTAATCACATTTCTAATGTTTAAATACAAATAATTCTTAGCACATTTAATCCATAAATGCCCCCAGCGACATGATTTTTGTCACTGCTCAGCAGGAGACTTGCATGACTACAGGACAAATACATACAGATTCCTCACACACAGCAGCACCTTCATATTGCCATGGCTGTGGGGAGACCTGCTCATGAGAGGGGCCACCTCTTTTGTGAACTGGTATTTGGGGCTTACATAGACTCCACAGAGTTACCACTGTTTCCTAAACCCCAAATGTGTCTGTCCATATGTAGGTACTAGACTCATTCAAGGCCAGTACCTTCCCCATCAAAAGAAGAAAGTATGCTTTACAGAAGCATTTGAGGAGGGAATAGCCTAGGATCCTCAGCCTCTGAGTGCTGGATCTTTCCATAGAAACAAAGCTATTCAGAAGGGGCCTTCTGGGCATCTAGTATGACCCCGGCTCTAGCCAGCTCCGCTGACGACATGTGGAGGATAGGCTGTGCATGTTCAGCCTGTCCTTAAAACATCCTCATGGAAGGGGCTTCAACCACCTCCCGTGGAAGCCCATTCCATGCCCTAGGGGTCCTAACCTTCAGAAAGTATTTCCTGGCATCCACCTTGAATCTTGGCCCCTTGAGCTTTGGAACATGTCCTGCCCTGGAACATGTCCAGTCCTCCACCACAGGGGAGAAAAGGTCATGACCCACCTCCGTGTGACACCCCCTCACATACCTGTATGTTGCTAACAGGTCCCCTCTGAGTCTCCTCTTCTCCAGACTGAAAAGACCCAGCTCCCTCAGTCTCACCTAATATGACTTACCCTGCAAACCAGCCACCATCCTTGTGGCCCTTCGCTGCACAGATTCCAACCTTGCTACAAGTGATTGAAAGAGTGAATCTTTGCAAACCTTTCTTTAATTATGTATGCTATTGTTGGCTTCCTATGTTTACTCTTGAGAGAGAACTTAGCTGCAGTCCAAATGGGCTTTGTTCTGCTGGGAAGATACCTCAGCAGAAGCTACTTGACACTTCTACCAAGGCATTATGCTTGTTAATGGGAATAAGCTAATAGTTTTAATGATATATGTGGAGAGGGAACAGGAGGAGAGATAAACAAGCAAGAATATCAAGGAGGATAATTCAGAAGCCATGTTGAAATGGTTGCCTGAATGTCTCAAATATTATGGATTATATGCAACAAGCATGATTGATAAATGCAGAAATAAGCTATGGCCTTTCTCATTTATTGGAATTGGATACTAGCATTTAACCTGGGATTTCAGACAAAAATATAAAGCTGTCTTAGGTAACCCATTAATTAAGTCAACATGAACTTCATGGGATCCAGTTTTTCAACTTCTTGGTTGACCTGCTTTTCTATTTAATAATTACTTTTCCTTAACAATAACATCTCTTCAATGAATTGTAAAAGTAAATTAGAAAAAATGAAAAAAAAATCCTGTTTTTAAGCTAACGTGTTATCTGTGAAATGAAAACTTTTTTTTTAAATCTCTGGCTGCAACTGATCAGTGATGTACGCTAATGTACCTGTAGTAAAGATAGCTTTATCCCACTGATTTTATTGGAACTCACTTTACCTCAATACAAGTATGCTAATTTTACATGGTGATGCGTGTGAGCATCCTGTTTACATTGAGCTCCGCAAGTGCTTTTGTGTTCTTACTAGCACTGAAGTAATTACTCTTTAATTGACAGAGACTACCAGGTAACAGCTGGATCAGGCTGTGAATTATATTGTATGTATATCCATTAGAGAAAAGTAGAAGTCTGAATGCACATAAAAAATATGGTGACATAATCACATTAATAGACCACAGAGCATGAGGTAATTGGTAGTGTTTGGTTGTACTTGACATTGTATGCACTACAAAAATAGCTTGTCCCGTTGATCTCTTTTTTTGAATTATTCAGGAATCTGAAGCTTTGTTCCACAAGGCAATTAAAGCCAATCCAACTGCAGCCAGTTACCATGGTAATTTGGGTAAGACATTTTATAGCTCCCTTAGTGCAAACTTAAAAAAAAAACAGACACATTGCTTGTACTTTTTTCATGTTCATTGTCTTTAAAAACTACTGTTTTAAGGCATTCTTCTGCTGACTAGATTTCTGTCTGCCTGCTTGCTAAACACATTGCCAACCAGAGAATGGGGTTCTGAGAATGCAGAGCCTGTTGCACTGTATGATAGACCAACCAGGCAGCGTACTGCAGTCCAGAGGTGGCTACATGTCAGTGGTGGCAAATTGGCTCTTTTGTGCCATGCTTGCAAACCGCCATGAGCTCTCCAGATTAAAACAGCAATTTATGGCTGTAGCACAATCTACTCTTGTCATTCTTTGGCCCGCTTGGCTCCCAAACGGGTCTCCTCCAGCTGGCAACAGAGCTGGCTGCCACCATGCCGACAGCCAACCAAATGTTCTAATGTTTTCTAAGTAATTGGCAAGATGGTCTATTCTTCGGCAGCGTTGCTAACAAAAACTCCTCTTTGCTGTTTCAGCTGTGCTGTACCATCGCTGGGGAAATCTTGACTTAGCCAAGAAACACTATGACGTCTCTCTGAAGCTTGACCCCACAGCAGCTGGGACGAGGGAAAACTATAGTCTTTTAAAAAGAAAACTGGACCAACTGCAAAAAAAGAGTGATCTCTGAGACTACTTCTCAGGCTTTGAATGCTGACTACATACCATTTACCATTTATTGGTAACATGGCTACTAATCACCGGGGAGAAGCATTGTCACACTATCATTAAAAATGAAATGAAACCCCAGCTTTGGACACTGGAATGTTTCATGGAGTTTAGCCTCAGAAGTTGAAAAAATAGATTTTTTTCATTCATAAAATTAAAGGTTTTTGTTTCTTCTTTAAGATGTTTGAATCAATTTTAATATGTTGAATATTTATATTCTGGTACCCAAGGCGGTTACAATGGTAGTATCCACAGTAAAATGAAGTGTGGCCCATACTGAAGATGCATGTATTATTAGAAAACTGACGGGCACTGTTCAGGAATGGAAATTATTGGTAATTTTATGCTTTCATGTACATTTACTTAAAGAAATTCCAATGCAGTGTTAGTGTGAAATGTTGCCCTGGTTTGTATGTGCAACAATGCTGAGACAATGTTTGCTTTAACAACATGGAGGTGAGTGTTGAGTTTTGTGACAGAGTTCTTTCTCTTGTCTGCTATTAATACACAACTGATATACCTGGTGTGTGTGGAACAGATTAAATAGTTTCCACATCAAGCAAGAACTTTGGATTAAAACTGTTTATAGGTTCTAACTTGAATTGTTGCTGTTTGGCTTAAAGGCAGTGACTTGAATAGGTTACAGAGAAGGGGTTGACGTCAAAGTACTTCAAATTGGAAAGCCTTTTTTACCTGGATGTTTGCCCAGAGTCTCATAGCACTTCAAATGGGCAGTGATTACATATTTAGTCAGTGTGGCTGTTTGTGCTAGTTTTGATCTGCTGTTTTGTTGGTAGCTGCTTTTTGGCCGTGACACAGCAGCATTTCTTGAGTTTCTTTGAGAATGATTGCAGAGTTAAGCTATTTTACTGGGCTTAACAGTTTCATAAACAAACAAGGGCCAGTTAAGATGCTGTAAAATCCTTCACCTGAAAAAACTTCAAGGTTGCAGTTGAGAGGAGGAGCTAACATCTGATATTTGATCTGGGTGATCATAACCTAAAATAGCTAGTAAAGGGAATGTGACACCGACATAGTTTTTATTTGCATGGAATTAATACCAAAATGATAGCAACAGAAAATTCTGAGCTATCACCTATATTGACAGCATAAGTAACCCCAAATACATGTGCCTTTGTTTATGTCACAAAGATTTCTTGTGAAAATACAGTTCATCTAAAATCAGTGAGATCATAAGAATGGCCATTCTAACCATTCTCCTATTTATTCTTGGTCCAGATTGGATTTTCTGGTATTAAAGAATCATTTGCTGTCCCTTTTGTGTTGGTATGTATATAGTTCAAGGCTGATGTTGTTGCCTCTGAATCCTGCTTTTTTCTACTATTTTATTGAAAAGTTTCTAAAATATGTATAGTTGGTTGGTACTCTCAGCTGAAGCAGTGCCACCCTGTTTATCTCAACCTGTGAACAGTGCTATCTTCAGTAGTAGATATGCATGGACCTGATCTAGCCCTGACTGTTGGGGAAAGGGATCCACCCAATGGAAAAGCATATACATGGAGAACTGGGATGTACAACTCTTTCTGTTGTTACATGGTATTGAGTCATCTCCAACTTATAGCGACTCTATGAATTAATGCCCAACAAAATGTCTTGTCCTTGACAGCCCTGCTCAGCTCTTGTAAACTCAAGGCTACAGCTTCAATACATCACTTTCCTGAACACTACATGCTTCAGCTGTTATAATATAGGATGCTATAAATCTCTTTAATAAAAGCATGCTGTGTGTGTGTGTGAGTCAGAAAAACATGTATAAAAACTATAAATGGAAATAATTTCCACAGGTTGCAAAAGCTTTAAGAGCATATTTTGTACAGTTTTCTCAAATCAGAGGTAAAGGATCCTAGCTTCTGAAGATCCTGAACATTTAGCAAAACCTTTCATAATAGCTCATCATTGAATATTGTTGATGTCTTCTGTAATTTATTGTCTTGTTACTCTTGCATTTTCAACTTAGATGTTATCTTTATTGGCCTGCATCATTTGTTCTGTATTAACCTAGTAAATCAGTATTTTATATAGGGCATGAAATGAATTCAAAGCTTCACTTTCTTTTCTTATAAATTCAGAATCTTGTTTGTTTTTTAAACACCTTAGAATTATTTGGATACATCCTGTTTTCAATGTATTTGTAATGTAGATCACCTTTTACCAAACTTTAATTATTCAATGTTCAAAATTACTTTAAATGTACATTTACCTTCTGCCAGCTCTTTCATGTGGAACTACTGACTGAGCAAAAGCTTTGAAAAATGTGGCAATCCATGTGTGGAAGCAAGCCATTGCTTTACCACCTGGACCAATCTAGATACCCTCTAGATGTATTAGACTACAACTCTCATCTGATGCTGTGGGTGATGGGAATTCTAGTATAACACATCTTGAGAGTGCATTTCCCTGTTGAGAGCAACCAGTTCTGAATCTCCTACAAACACAGCTGTATAATCCTGTGTAGTGAATATTTGCTATATTCAAACTGGATGTTTTTCAACGATTGCTTATAACATCTTGTCTGTGTGCATTTTCTAGGTGGTTGTATGTATTGATATTACTTTTCAAGATTGTGAATAATTGCCAGACCTTATAACTTTCAACTGTTTGAGTATATTGTTGGGTTTTTCAAAAAACATAAAACTGCTTAATGTTAAAGATTTTATGGGAAAGACGTTTACGTGTATACTCCCAGTATTTAACTATTGACTTCAGTTTGCTTCCTCTTTGAATGCTGGGAAGCTGCTTATAATCTGCAGTTCCTACCACTGAGAGGATATACTGGGTTGGATCTGGATTGTCATATTTAAAGTAGACCCTTTGATTTCAATGTGTCTACTGTAAGAATGTCAATGTCAGGCATCACATACAGAACTTGAATGTCCCAGTTTATCTAAACCATGCACATTCTCTACCAATAAGAAGACAAAAAGGTGCTATGCATTGAGTTCCTATTCCACATCTAGTAATGGTTAAATGTTTCCATCCCAATGTCAGACTGCTTTTTGTGGATAGAAGACATTTTGCATCTACTGCATAATTTCTAGTTCTGCTCTCTCACTGATATCAATAGGTCATGCAGTGGTACCTCAGCTCACAAACACCTCAGTGCACAACCAAATCAGGTCGCGAATGGAAAGTTCAGAAAAAAATCGCCTCAGGTCACGAACTCCACATCGGGTGATGATCGTGACCGTGCTAGGGGAGGGGAGATGGTCTTCCCTGCCCAATCACGGCCACAGACAGGCACAATCACAGGCAGGGAAGATGGGCGCGATTGTGGTCATGTGGGTGGGGGGGGAGATGGCTGCGCTCATGCTTGGGTGGGAGATGGCTGCTATCTTCCTTGTTCTTTGTTGCTGTCACTTTGTTTCAATTTTTTGTGATTTAAAAAAATGGTTACAGAATGGATTAACCTTATTTACATTGAATGTTATGGGGAAATTTGACTTGGCTCATGACCAATTTGGGTCACGACCAGAGTTGCAGAATGGATTAAATTTGTGAGTCAAGGTACCACTGTATTTAAAAGTAAGCTATGCAGAATCTAGGTAACTAGTCTCGCGTATCAACTAGTCTCGCGTATAGTATTACAACTGAATCAGAAAACATCCTGACACCATGTATGTGTTTATTTCAGCTATCTTAGCATAGCTTACAAAGTTTAATTATTTTTAAATGAACAAATATGTCTACACAAGTGTTTTCCAGTTATGATTGGGAGTAGCCTTACTCAATGAGTATGCATTATATTTCACTTACTAAGTTTATGTCCTGCTAATGCTGATTCTAATGCAATTTACACCATCTAATACAAAACACACCATTTTAGTTTACTATGGATGGTATAGCCTGTGCACACACATCTGTCCATACTCAAGTACTGGCATTTTTAGTTCTGATAGGAAATTGATCCAGCAACAGGAATAGTGTATGTTCCACTTCCTATCAGTTTTCTACTAAAAAAACCTGCCCCTACTTTTTCAGTAAGAAAAAAAAATGGTCATAACTTCTCAGTTGTAGTTCTCTCTTAAGAAAACATGTAACACTTTTTTTTAACTGGACAAATGACACCTATGGTCAGAGGAAGGAATTGGATCTGAAATAATGGCAGGTAAATAATGGCAATGATTTGGAATGTGTTAATAAACAGTTTTGTTAATGAGAAATCTGCCCTTCATATGTCTGAATTTCTTAATACTGAGGCATTAATACAAATGCTGCAATCCACCAGTGAATAAAAGGGGACCTACTTTTCAGTAAAAATCAGTATGATCAGCTTATGTCACACATTTTTCTCAATTTTTCCAATTTTTGTACTAATAGCACCTTTTCAATTTGGGGTATCATTTATTTGAAAGTTTCTGGTCTTTTTGAAGACCACAGTTTGCGGCTGGTCTGTTGAGTCCTAAGCCATTTTCTGAAAGTGGAATCAGTGCATATCTAATTCAGTACTTGAAAAAAACCTGAAATCTCCATATGCATCCATATTAACACAATCCAATTCTTTAGTTCAAGCTAGTACTTAGGATCAGGTATAAGTTCACTAAGGCTGTAATCCTGTACATACTCACCTGGGAGTAGGTCTCTGTAAATTCTAATTAACATACATAAAATTGGGGTGTAAGAATCTTGGCTGTTTGCTATAGCAGGAATTGATCTCCTGAAAATTCAGTGCAAAATCTGAGTACTGCAGGTCTTCTGAAAATCTAGCCTTGTTAGTAAATAAGCACTGGTTTTATTTCTGAAAAGGCTGCCTCTCTAGTTACCAAAAAGCTGATTTTACAAAAGACAGCTATATTGTATCACATCAAATGTGAGAAAATTTCCATTTCTGTGATATTCTAAATATTTCCATTTTCATGAACAGAAGAAAATATTAATGCTGTATGCAAGAATTAATGGTATTGTTTTAGTATACGTGGCCATACTCGTTGCCAGTTCTATATGTTCAGTGTATGACAACCTGTGATGTAATTCACATTTATTCAGGGCCTAGTAAAACTATTTTTGCCAATGAAAAGGCATGAATGAAGAATGTGACAATAACTGCTTACAGCTGATATGATTGGTCCTTGTTACTGAATCTTGCATTTTAATGAATACATTCCACTTTCTTTACTAATACAGGGTCTGAAACATTTGTAATCAAGATGCATTTGTACTTTGCCTATGGTGGATTTTATAAAAGTAAAACTAGGACCTACTGAAGAACATCAATAAAGTACTGTGTTCAAATTAGCATAGAGTTAAAACAAAGACGAAAACACCCTTTTTAAGATAGCCATGGTAGTGCTGTTCAACTGTGAAGTGTTAAAACAGCTGCAGGAAACCACACTTAATCAGAGCAGGAGGAGAGAATTCTTAAATCATTCCCCACATGCAGATTTTTGGATCAAAATTGCCTGCTCCCCACATGTTTTTCATCTGCAAGGGGAAAGTTAGGGAAGCCATATCATTTAGCCCTTGTTAATGTGATGCTAGTGAGGATGACTCCTTCATGGATCACTGCCTTGTTGTGGCGAAGAGGCTTGTGTAGCTCAATGAAACTATGAGCTATGCTGTGCAGGGTCACCCAAGACAGACAGGCCTTAGCAGAGAGCTCTGACAAAACGTGATTCACTGGAGAAGGAAATGGCAACCCTCTCCAGTATCTTTGCCATGAAAAGCCCACGGACAGAACCAAAAGGCAAAAAGATATGATGCCGGAAGATAAGCCCCTCAGGTCAGAAGGTGTCCAATATGCTACTGGGGAAGAGCAGAGGGCTAGTACTAGTAGCGCCAGAAAGAATGAAGTGACTAGGTCAAAGCCGAAAGGACACTCAGTTGCTGATGTATCTGGTGGTGAAAGGAGAGTCCGATGCTGCAAAGATCTATACTCCATAGGAACCTGGAATGTAAGATCCATGAATCAAGGCAAGCTGGATGTGGTCAAACAAGAGATGACAAGACTGAACATCGACATCTTAGAAATCAGTGAACTAAAATGGACAGGAATGGGTGAATTTAATTCATATGACCATCAGGTATACAACTGCGGGCAAGAATCCCTCAGAAGAAATGGAGTAGCCTTCATAGTCAATAAAAGAGTAGGAAAAGCAGTACTGGGATACAATCTCCAAAATGACAGAATGATCTCAGTTCGAATCCAAGACAAATCATTCAACATCACAATAGTCCAAGTCTATGCCCCAACCACTGGTGCTGAAGAGACTGAAGTTGACCAGTTCTATGAAGGCCTACAACACCTTCTAGAATTAACTCCAAAAAATGATGTCCTTATCATCATGGGGGATTGGGATTGGAGTACAAAATGAAGCAGGGCACAGGCTGGTAGAATTTTGTCAAGAGAATACGATGGTCATAGCACACACTCTTTTCCAACAATCCAAGAGATGACTCTACACATGGACATCACCAGACGGTCAACACAGAAATCAAACTGACTATGTGCTCTGCAGCCAAAGATGGAGAAGCTCTATACAGTCAGTAAAAACTAGACCAGGAGCTGACTGTGGCTCAGATCATGAGCTTCTGGTTGCAAAATTTAGGCTTAAGTTGGAGAAAGTAGGGAAAAGCACTAGGCCACTCAGGTATGACCTAAATCATATCCCTGATGAATATACAGTAGAGGTGACAAATAGATTTAAGGAATTAGATCTGATACACAGAGTGCCTGAAGAACTATGGATGGAGTTTCACAACATCGTACAAGAGACAGCAACTATAACCATCCCAAAGAAAAAGAAATGCAGGAAAGCAAAGTGGCTATCTGAAGAAGCTTTACAAATAGCTGAGGAAAGAAGGGAAGCGAAAGGCAAGGGAGAAAGAGATACACCCAATTGAATGCAGAATTCCAGAGAACAGCTAGAAGAGATACGAATGCCTTCTTAAATGAACAGTGCAAAGAAACAGAAGAAAACAATAGAATAGGGAGGACCAGAGATCTCTTCAAGAAAATTGGAGATATGAAGGGAACGTTTCATGCAAAGATGGGCATGATAAAGGACCAAAATGGCAGGGACCTAACAGAGGCAGAAGAGATTAAGACGAGGTGGCAAGATTGCACAGAGGAACTATACAAGAAAGAGCATAACATCCCTGATAACCATGATGGGGTGGTCACTGACCTCAAGCCAGACATCCTGGAATGTGAGGTCAAATGGGCCTTAGGAAGTCTGAGCAACAACAAAGCTAGTGGAGGTGACAGTATTCCATCAAAATCTTAAATGATGATGCAGTAAAAGTGCCACTAAATATGCCAGCAAACATAGAAAACTCAACAGTGGCCACAGGATTGGAAAAAGTCAGTTCACATTCCAATCCCAAAGAAGGGCAATGCCAAAGAATGTTCAAACTAGCGCACCATTGTAGTCATTTCACATGCTAACAAAGTGATGCTCAAAATTCTACAAGCTAGGCCCTAGCAGTATGTGGACCGAGAACTACCAGAAATACAGGCAGGATTTCGAAGAGGGAGAGGAACTAGAGATCAAATTGCCAACATACGCTGGATCATGGAGAAAGCTAGGGAGTTTCAGAAAAACATCTACTACTGCTTCATTGACTATGCTAAAGCCTTTGATTGTGTGGATCACAACAA